TTTTCTACGACAGTTTTCTTGATCTTTTGAAGAACACGTACAAAAACGAGATGGAATTGCATCAAACTTTACACGTTTGCGTCTAGCAACAAATTTGATTTCTGATGGCTTAAAATATAATTCTAACAATATTGTAATCGTAATTTTTCCTCTTTATTTTATTAATACGACTCGTATTGTCCAAGCGGACCGAGCAGCTATTTGTTACATAAAGAGGTTTGTCAGTGAAATAAAGATATATGTGTTGACCAGCGTATTGAAAAATCATCGTGTCGTATTAAATTATTTAACTCTTAATACCTGTCGTTGTCGTAATACGCGAAAATCGTGTCGAGCCGTTGGTTGTTTGCCGTGTCGTACAGGGGCAAAGTGCCCTTGGCTTTTGTTATCAGTTGATTTAATTTTGTGTCGGTGATTGCTATAACTCGAAAGTGAGTTCAAGTACATTTTGTTTGTTTCTCTATCCGGTCGTTATTGGCTTGACGTGCCGGTTATAAGGAAAAGATAAACAGCTTCGACTTTCATGTAATATTTCGGTTATCCTGTACGCTGTTTGAAAGTCGCAAGTTATATTCATCGTGTCGTTCGTCGTCGTTATTTCGAATCGATTAAGAACTGAATTATAAAAGACGTTGGAATAAAACAGACATTCACTGTATCGGTAATTATTTATATTATTTACTTCGAAACTCAAGAAAAAAAAGATAAAATACTTAAACTAAGAAAAATAATAAAATAAAGAGGAAAAATTACGATTACAATATTGTTAGAATTATATTTTAAGCCATCAGAAATCAAATTTGTTGCTAGACGCAAACGTGTAAAGTTTGATGCAATTCCATCTCGTTTTTGTACGTGTTCTTCAAAAGATCAAGAAAACTGTCGTAGAAAATTAAGAAAAATCTCGAAAAATGAGAATGGTTCTTATCAGTGTCAAACCTTTGCTGACAAACACAATGATTGTTGCATCGCTATGCAACATCCTATCAAGACAAATGAAATATTGGATAAACCAGAGGAATTCATTGAAGAAATACGCGGAGAGAATGATGTTGAGGAAAGTTGTTTCCTTTCTTCAACAAATATTGGACAATAGAAAACAATGATCTTGTAATTGTGGCATATATAAATTGAAAAAATCTTTCTTTGTTATAAAACAAAGTGATTACAAGGAATATTTTATTATAATTTACTGTGCTTTCTATAATATTTATATTAAAAATAAAGTAAATAAATGCTATTTTTATATTTCAAAAAATTGGTTACAATGATAAAATTATTATTATCTTTTATAATGATAAGTTCTTTTTATTTACTTTATGTAGTTGGAAGTACTTAAAACCTGTTTTTAACAAAGAGAGATTTTTTCAATTTATATATGCCACAATTACAAGATCATTGTTTTCTATTGTCCAATATTTGTTGAAGAAAGGAAACAATTTTCCTCAACATCATTCTCTCCGCGTATTTCTTCAATGAATTCCTCTGGTTTATCCAATATTTCATTAGTCTTGATAAGAGGTTGCACAGCGATGCAACAATCATTGTGTTTGTCAGCAAAAGTTTGACACTGATAAGAACCATTCTCATTTTTCGAGATTTTTCTTAATTTTCTACGACAGTTTTCTTGATCTTTTGAAGAACACGTACAAAAACGAGATGGAATTGCATCAAACTTTACACGTTTGCGTCTAGCAACAAATTCGATTTCTGATGGCTTAAAATGTATCTACAAAAAAATCACAAACATGCTGTAATTCTAACAATATATTGCATTATTATATGTTTATCTTTTGAAGTACAAAATTAGAACATATTGCACATTGCTACTAACCTCGCAAAGTTTTTGAGAACTACTAGGTGACCAGTTCTTGCTTCTTCCAACTGTAGCAATCTATTTTCTCTTTAAACTTTCATCATGCGGATATCTTACCAATGCATAGCCTTGATCACTTCTGTTTGAACAATTGTATGCAGTGCAACTTGATGGCATGGTGCCTGTGTAATATAAATACAATAAATTATTCGATTAAGAATTTTGTGTGTCACCAAATAACTGTTCACAAACTAACAGTAAATATATATAACCAACTTCTAAATATTTATCTCTTATATAATAAAAGTTACTTTTAGCTAATAAATACTTAATCATTCAATTTATAACAAATTTAAGTATATAATATCAAGTTCAAAACACAATTATTAATATTTAACGATTACTAACCTCATGATCCACCAACATCTGTCAATGCACTGGCGTCGCATGTCAAAATCTGCACATATTGATGCCAGCCAATCGCGGCATAGCTAGTCACATGACCAAGTTGGCGATTCTCTTTCCTAGAGGTTCTTTCGGAGCTTTCCAGCTACGTACACAGGCGACACTGTGTAACACAATGTCCATTAGTGTAAAAAAAAGCATGTCAGTGTGTGTCACTCACACTAGTGGACACTGTGTTGCACAGTGTCGTCTGTGTACGTAGCTGAAAAGCTCCCTTTAATTGTCTCTAATACAGTGTATGACAGTATTCCGTTGTTGGAAAGCACCCTATATCTATCTCTCTGTTGCTTCTCGCGCGGCCCTTTCTATGGTTAGCATATAGGCATGATTTCTCCATTAGTATAAGCAGAGAGAAGCCTGAGAACGGCCAAGAAACTACAATGGGTGTGTTTAGCCGAAGTTAGCGCTACGTAGCGCTACGTAGCGGCTTCATGTAGCAGTTGCAACTGCTTACAAAAATGGCGGCCACTACTTAGAACATGCTGCGCGTAGCAATACTGTCCAGCAGAAGTAACGCAGCAGTTGCAACTGCTACATGAAGCCGCTACGTAGCGCTACGTAGCGCTAACTTCGGCAAAACACACCCATTCTAGTTTTTTACTACAGTTTCAACCGCTGGTTTTGGCCGTATTTCCACAAAAGTAGAACTCAAAGGCCGTTCTCCACGAAACTCAAGTCGCAGGTCTCGTGGAACTGATCAATCACGTTGGTCGATTGGCTGATTTGACTCTGCAATTGGTCAATTCCACGAGATCTGATACTTGCTGTGACCGGAACTGCACTTTCCGCTCGTAT